TTAAGGTATCAGGAGGGGTTCACGACCACTACTCACGCAAACGCAAATTACGCGCCGGCTTTGTAAAATACTTCAATAAAAGTATATATTTTTAAGAAGCTAAATAAATGTAGTTTTTGGAAATTATTTCGAAATTTTCATAACTTAAAACGCCATAAAGATATTCCGCCTAAAGCGTATTTTGACCGGACCTTGTTTGAATTGCCTCAAAATTGTCAGGATTGCCGTCTTAGCAATGAAAACCACGTTAACACTTTCCTTATACATTAAACTTCAAACGGTGTCGGCGATTTTTCATCACTGCTTTAGATCAGCCGCTACAGAGTCCCAATTATTGATCATTGAATTTACCGTGTATCAGTGTACAAACTGGGCAATATCTAAACAACGAAAGCGAAAATCAAAAATCGCCGACACCGTTTTTTAGTTCCAGATTGGATTTCTATTCTTGCGAATTTTGAAAACAAAATCTTTTATTGCGGAAAAGTTAGAGCGCTTCAAATGTACGATTTTTCTCGTTTCAAAAACGCCAGATAAACGTGTCTATTCATTTGGGCAAGAAAACCACAGGGGTGTTTACACAACACCTCAGATCTGTCAGCATCATGTCATTATGCCTGGCTATTCTCAGGATATGTTCCTGGCTTTGTATAGTAATGTGAGAGCTTTACAATCATTCTCGGCAAAGGTCAAGAAAGTACCTTCGATTCTATATTACATATTATTTGTGTTATAACGAGTCTATAACCATGCCCAAAAGAAGAAGGCAACAATCAGCGAACGGGGGAAGCGAGCTCGGAACAAGTCCCCGACAAGTTGTTATAGAGCAGATGAGAGCACATGGGTGAGTAGCTAAGCGTAATTTACCCGAATTCTTTGGTATATATAGCTTTCATCAATACCGTGAAAAAAAGTAATTTTGGTAACACTTTGTAGTCCAACGTCAGCATTACAAATTCTTCTTTATATTTAGATTTGGCGGCGAAGTTTTTGCCGAAAACTTGGAGGCAAGTACCTACCAACGCAAAAGACGCGGGAAACCAGCAAGGTTGAACCGGTATTTTCACTATTGCTCTTGGGCACACGCATTGATGGTAATTATGCCATACACATTATTAAAAYGAATTYATTCAATACGATTTGTTATCGGTTTAGTAACTGAACGTCTTCTCTTGCTTGATAGGAAAAGAATATTGGCCCAGCAGGAGCAGAATATACGTTTCCGTCGAGTGTCTTGGCATTTATACGAGATCTTGTACCAGGAAACGTAAAGGGTGAATTTCGCGAGGTATGTTAGTGGTAAAAGTAACTTATGTTTAGTTT